GAAGGATTTCATGACCACAGACGTCAAGGCGACAGGTCTGTAGTCATTCAGTCCTGTAATGGTGGGTTTCTTGGGGGACCGGGATGATGGTGGAGTGTTTGAAGGAGGAGGGAATTTCACACAACTCCAGGGATCTTTTGAAGATGCGAGTAAAGATGGGAGCCAGCTGTTCAGCACAGGTTTTGAGGCAGGAGGGTGAAACACCGTCTGGTCCGGGGGCTTTCCTGGACTTCTGTTTCTGAAACAGTCAGCTCACATCCTGAGTGTGTATTCTGAGTTTCAGGGAGAAAGAAAGGGGGGTGAGAGCAGTGATGAAGGTCGTTGAGACAGGATTGGGGAGGGTGATGGTAGTTGTTGAGTCTGGGTTGGGGAGGGTGGTTGTGGTCGTTGAGTCTGGATTGGGGAGGGTGGTGGTGGTCGTTGCATCTGGATTGGGGAGGGTGGTGGTGGTCGTTGAATCTGGATTGGGGAGGGTGGTGGTGGACGTTGATTCTGCATTGGGGAACGTGAGGTGGGAGGGGGGAAGGTGTTGGGGGTCAATGTCTGAAAAAATGTCTCTGGGGAGGGGAGGGTGAGGTGTGGGAGTCTGTCCGTCTCAAACCTGCATTAGAATGTATTCAACTCATTGGCCAGGTCTTTGTTTGCTTCAACAGGGGGTGGGGGACGTCTGTATTTGGTGATTTCCAGCAGGCCCCTCTACACTGACGCAGGGTTGTTGGTTGAGAGCTGTTCTTTCAGCTTCTGGGAGTAGATCCTTTCAGCTGCTTTCACCCCGGTCAGTGTGTTCCTGGCCTGCTTGTACAGGGCCCTGTCACCACTTGCGTAGGCATCCTCCTCGGCCTTACGAAGATGTTGGAGTTGAGGAGAGAACGATGGTTTGTTGAGTATTATGAAGTCACTTTACTACTGTCTACTTAGTTGTAATGCATATATTGACACACATGCTTGCAGTAAATGCTGACAGTGTTGTAAAGAGTGCAGCTGTAGCACACTATACCAGATAAACTATACCATCACATCATTTCAGAAGAACTCAAAGCATCTGCTTCAACATTATATTTGGTCCCAAAACAGCATGCAGTCTTCATGTAGACATAACATGATTAACAAGGTTAAAACCAAAAAAGCCTTCTATTTAAGTTTACTAAACTCGCCAGTAACACCACAGTCAAAAAGAAAAAGTCCGGCATAGAGCGGCTGAGTGAATGTGGCCCGAACTTTGTGGAGGAGAGTCATGGTTTCAGAGACGCTGTAGAAAGACAGAATACCTGCACTGTGATCCAGGTACACTCCTACTCTGGAGGACCGAGGACCTGAGAGGCGAGTTTTGTTTTTGTTGTACAAAAACTGATAACGCTCTGTTTTACAACTTAAAGCCCAGGATTTGTCATTCCATCCAAATCCACTTTCATCTGAGCGCCCTACTCTACTGATATTTTTGTAAGCAACTGCTACATAAATTCCCGCTTTCCCACTCCACTCCACCTCATAGTAACAACGTCCAGTCAAACTCTCTCTACTCAGGACCTGATACCAAAAGGTGAATCTATCTGAATGTTCAGAATGTAATGGTTGTTTTGTTACTGTTACTTTTCTGTTTCCTTCAGACAATAACAGATATCTGTTTGCTGTGTTTGGATCCAGTGTGATGTCACATGAATATTTTAAGAATTCAGGTCTGGTCTTTGGCGCTGGTAGTGACAGTAAAACATCCACTTCAGTGACTGTCAGTGAGATGTTTGTCCATTCCTCTCTCAGAATGTCCTGTAGTTTATCTCTGGTCTCTGACACAGCTGCTGTCACATCCTCAAAGTAGCTCAGAGGACGAATATTGATGCTGGATGAGTGTGTAGACTCACTGAGTGCTGACAGTG